GACTATTCTATGAGCTATTTGGCTTATGTCATTCACTCACACACATACACATACATTACATGATTAATAGTAATTTCGTGCATTTTCAAATAAATTATTATAAATATATACTGTGAATTTCACAATTTATATATTATAGGTCTAAAATACACTAATGCTCATAAGTGTACAAACAGAGAATTGTATGAATTGTATCGCATCTGATTAGGATTAAGTGAAATAATAATAATTAAAAGATAATAAATGCTTCAGTTTTAAAATCGAATTTTCAATTGTTCCATATTTTGAGAGGTTATACCTTTAAAAATAACATACCAAAATTTTAAATCGATATCTTAAATAGTTTTTGAGTCACAGCCATTTTAAGTGTATATATAGTATATAGTATAACGATAATTTTATCTTTAAACGCGTTTTTCTCGAAACAGCATTTTCCGAATTTGCTGCAGCGATTACTCAAAAACAAATGATCACTATCAATTTTTTTTTACATGTTCTATATGTATAGTTCTCCGTAAAATGAACTATCGATTTTTTGATCGGATCAAAAATCGAATTTTCGCAGTCTAAAAACGACCAAAATTTTGGGTAAAATTCGACTTTTTTTTAAAAAACGTCGCCATTTAATCAATTTTTGATTTTTTTATCGTAGTTCATTTTACAGACAATATTATTTAGTTTAACGAAGTTTTTTTTTTTTTTTTATTTCTCACGCAGAAGGCCGGAATCACTGCAGCAGTGACGGGACTTTTTTTTCGCGCCGTTAGAGATCGACGATAACTTAAAAAATATTTGATTTTTTTCTTCAAAAAGTTTACTATGTATTCTTAAAACATGTGTAAATATATTCTTGAAATTTTGAGATGATTGATGAAGTATTTTTTTCCATATAAATTCCCAAAAATCATTTTTTTAGTCGGTTTTCGTTGCGGTACGGAAAGTTCCAGCAATTTGCCTTAAGGCACGATGCCATACACCCCACTAGTTTTTTTTTAATTTTGAGTATTTTTGCAAATTTCGAAATTTTTGAAATAAAACGTTTTGAATTTTTTTTTAATTTTTTGGAAATTTTTAAATTTTTTGATATTTCAGATAAAATTACGAAAATTTGAAAAAAAATGCATATTTGAATTTCTTCGGAAATTTGAATATTTTAAAATTACTGCGTTTCCTAAACTAATCATTTATTCACGCCGTTATATATACACAATTTGCGAGGATAGAAGTTGTTATGAAATCAAATTCCGACGTTACTAAGGCAACGGTTTTACACAGCAATTATGATAAGGATACCGACGTTGTGAATAGAGATCTTAAACGTGAAATCTGGCGAGCAAGATCGCAAATTATGTCGGGCAAGATCGTACATTATGATTTATTATGTCGTTGCTAAGGTAACAAACTGTCCGGCATGAAAACTGGCGTCGTGTGCACCGGGCTTTATTTATGTAATGTATGTTTGCTTATGATGACTTTTTTTCTAGAGGTTGGATGCTGATGATGCTTTTCCATAAGACGATGAAGACTTTCCAGACTTTGCAGAAATGAGACTTATATTTTATGCAATTTATTTTGATACTTATGTTGTTTTTTCTCTTTGTTCACAGATCTATCGATTGATGATGATGAGCAGCCGTCGTCGCAGACTTCGGAGTCCTCCAAAGTCCTTTATCCTATCCCAAAATTACTAACATATTTCATGTATATCGATTATATCGTTTAATCGGGTTGTGAAACAAATTGAATGATACATAGAACCTACTACGCTGATGTGCTATTGTGGTGCTTGAGTTGCTTTCCTGTTGCCTGTCATTGAGCGGCACATAGGATCAACTTCTGTGTCGTTAGCAATACTCATTGATCGACTTCTACATAATGGTGATTTTCAATTAGCTATATAGTGTTGGGTTCGAGAAAACTTCTCGTCGATTTGCATGGCAAGCAAGTGTTTAATGAATCAATTAATTAGTCAGTCAGTCATTGATTTGATTTGATGATCTGATGATTTGATTAATTGATTGATTGATTGATTGATCGATTGATCATTTGTTTGATTGTCTTCTGTTGTGTAGGTTTCTATGATGATGAGTTGTTAATATCGGATTATAGGTTGCAATACTCGATGTGCCTCTCAATTCAATGTTCAACGATCTTTGTTTAGTATGACATGAATATATACGGTAAAAGGTAAAGTTTATGAAATATTCAAAGATATCTATCCACGGATATTTAGACAACGGTTTTTGCCGTTTTATTTTCATGAAACATTCTATCCACGGATTTTTAAACAAAGTTTTGCCTAGTATAGTATAGTCTTTGAAAATTTTACAAAAATAAAACAGTAACCACTTTGTTAAAAAAAAAACAATAAGTTTGTTCCCCAAAACCTTTCTCCAACATTTTTTTTTCCAATTTTTGTTTGAAACATTTTTTTTTGTATTATTCAATTTTTCGTCTTAAGTTTATTATTATGTTAATATATTTTCAGCGAGTTTAATAATTTAGATATTTTGGAACTTGTTAATTTACAAAGATACCTATATGTGCACATATATTAATAAAGGGTATGGGCGCTTTCCCATACAGAATCGGCCCTACCCTGGTATTTAAATAATTTATACGCCATTTTAAAGGTCTTTTTGAAAAAAAACGATATACCAATTCCCAACTTTGTATCTCACCTTATGGCCGAGATATCATTGAAAATATGTGAAAGTGGCCCCTTATTTCAAATTCACTTTTTGGCGTAACCATAAAAGATATCGAAAAAAAATCTACGTGGTTCTATTCATATTGGCTTAGGCCACATTACGTAGAATAATCGATGCCAAATAATCAATTATTATTAGCTGAAAAAGATAAAATAATTTGTCAATTGATGTTTTTTGGTAGTGCGTTCAGTTGGACCACCAAACAGTATAGTGTTTAAATTTTCTTGACCAGTTTGAATGTATTTCTCCAATTTACTAATGTACGAGTCAATTTGTACTCTGCTTGTTGTGAATGTTTTAAGTTCTGCCTATCTGTACTATAGTACAAAAAAGTTTAGTTAGGAGTCCAGATAAAAGCATAAAATAGAGAAAGTCGACTTACATATACATGCATATACGTTTTACAAATTAGGTCTCAATAGATTCAGAATGAAGTAAAACATCAAGAAATCATAAAAAAAGCAAAAACTGGCAAAAACATTCACAACAAACAAACAGAGGACAAATTGATTCGTACATTCGTAAACTCATTAAATTGGAGAAATACATTCAAATTGGTTAAGGAAAATAAAACAATAGTCCAAAAAAGCTTAGTTAGCAGACCAGCATAAAATAGAGAGATACTGTGCTTACCAGAATGTATCTGTCCTCGAGCAAAGACTAATTATATTAAAGGGGTATTCTAGTGTAGACCAATGAATTTTAGGTCATTTTTAAAGTGTTGTAAAAGAAAGTAATGAATGTTTTTACTATCCATTATTTACCACTTGTTTATTAATATTATTAAAATACAAAACAAAAAATTATTAAAAAAGTTGAAAATTGAACAAACTGCCAGCTGATAAAGTGGGGGGTCTCAAAAAATTGGCACCTCAGTCTTGACATGATTTCAACCCTCCTAGCAATCCGAAATAAAAGAAATAAAAACATTATTAATCTACAATGATGTCGCAATCGCCCAAACTAGCAATGAGTAACAAAAAATTATTACAAATTGGCGACTGTTTGAAAAAAAAGTGTCTTTTTTACCGTTTTTTAAGTTTCTCGAATTTTTTAAAAATAGTAAAAATTGGAATTTGGGGATGATGCTAGTTCATGCTACAGATAAGATTATTAACAAGACTCTCTGAACTTTTCAAGTGAATTGGTCGAGTAGAACTTCAGAAATCGTATCAACAGTACTGAAAAAGTCTGTTCCGAGAAAAACGCGTTTAAAGTTTTGCGTGAAATATTTTTGCTGTCAAAGTGATAAAATGATATGTTTTACTTATTATTTTTAATCTGCCTTTCCTGCTTCTTCTACTTAAAAAAAAAACTATTTTCTACATTTCTCTCTTCCAATCGAGCAGTTCTAGCCTTCTTTGAAGCGTTGGATAGTACGTATTTCAGATCGTTCAATCTGGGCAATGTCTCGTCTTACAGCAAATGAATGAGTTTCTGGCCCAGTTTTCATTACCATAAGGATCATTATTTTTAAAATCGGAAAGAAACCTTCATTGAATATGCAAACAGCAATAAATGTTGCTATTTCAATTGCCCGAGATCGGGAATGAATATGTTTAGGCGCAAAAATCCAAATCAACGAGTTTAGAGGCTCATTATTGTTCTAAGTTTCTGAACCTTAACATTCAAATAATAGTTGATCTGACGATAAACTGTCATAAATTGGTCTAATGACTTCCTAATACCTTTTGTCCGATTAGACCCTGCCAACCAGGTTGGAGACCGGGTGAGTAAAATGCCTATATCCCCGAAAATAATTCAAATTTTCAAAAATCTTCTCGTACCCATATTCTTAGACAGGTAAACTTTGAAAATATGAAACAAAAAAAAACGATTTTTTTTAAATTCTACACTAGAATACCCCCTTAATTTATTAATATGTAGTTCTCTAATAACATATTTGTTGCAAAAATAAGAAATAGATGCACTTAATTATTACATTTTTATAAATTTATAATGAAAAATAATATTATACATATAGAAAATTACAGGTATATAGATAAAACTTAATAATTAATATAATAGAAATACATTATTAAACCTAAATCTTTATGTAAATCCTACATTATTTTTGTAACAGTAAATTTTACTTACGTTCAACATTAAGTAATATCCATATATTTAAGTCAATTAACCCAGAATCAACATATCAATGCTTTTATATAAGCAAGACATAGTGCCTTTCAATTAATGTTTAATAAGTGCAGTAATTATTTTGGTTTACAATAGAAAATGTTCAAAATAAAATCATTAAAATATTTGCACTACGCTAATTACTCTCATCCTTATTGAAGATTTTTAAAAAATTAGAATCTTTCAACCTGGGGAAGCACATAATTGTATCCTAAATATCCATAAATATTCTCTAATATACTTATATTATAAATGAAGTAGGCAGCTAATGTAAACTAATTTAATTTGATTCTACTATCAAATGATTCATGATTTTTGGTCACCGATCACATGTTGGTAAATTTACAGGGAAAAAGAAATTCAATTCAACTGCACTTGCAAATGCTAGAAAAGCAATGTACATCAGAGTACATGTCACTCCGATTTTCCAATCCAAACGGAAGCGATTTAATGCAAACGCCAGGTACAAACCAAATAAGGTAGAAAGTAAAGATCCTGCTGAATAGGGCAGTCCACTGGAATTCAGAACCACCTAAAATGAAAATATAAAAAAAAATGTTGAACTTGTTGGATTGTGAACAGAAACATACTCGTATAAGTCCTGGTGTTAAATATCTCAATTTGAATAGTAAAAATTAAAACAAATATTACCCAATTATTCCCAGGATTAAGAGGATACAATGTAGATTTAATCAGCCAAGGAAGTCCCAAGCACAATAATATATCAAATGTATTAGAGCCTATTGAGCTCGAAATTCCCATTGCTCCATGTCCTAAAATTGTCATAAAAATATACTTCATGTTAACATTATTGTTACTACAAAAGCAAAATGATCATGTTATACAAACCTTGGTTAGTTACAATTACACTGGAAACTCCTTCGGGTACACTTGTACCCGCTGCCAAAAATGTGAGACCCATCACGGAGTCAGGAATATCCAAAGTATCTCCTATGAAATAAATATGATATTAAAATTAATATGATATTCTTTAATACAACCTGTGATTAAAAGTTATTAATTCTAATCTACTGAAGCAAAAAAATTGCGGCGAGCCCAGTCAAATACACGCTCTACTTGTAGGTACTCAGATCGAATCTTTGATGAGTAATATATATAGACTTCAAAAATAATGCTTAAAGAAAGAAAAGAATTATTCATAGGAAAAGCATTCAATAATATAAAAAAGTATGTGATCACATTTAGTAGTTTAAATAATCAATACAATAAAGACAGAATAACAATTAATACAAAAGTGATATAGTTTTCTGGCAGAGTTAAATAAATAAAATATTTAAATTTAAAAAAATGAATTTACCAATGACTGTAATGAGCCAAGCGACCATGTAGGACGTAACTCCAATCCAGATGACGCACATGATGAACGTCAATGGGTACATTCTAGGACGGCTTCTGCAATCTGGGATGGTTAGCCAAAGAACCAAAGATATTGGCCACTTCAATATATAAGCAAAAAGTCCTCCGGATTCTGGTCCTGTCCACGGACTTTCAGCAAATTCTATCAGGATAATAAACCATTTATTTTTAATTTATATAATAATTTATTATTGCTAGAAAAAGTTAGAATCTTAGAGGTAAAAATTAAGTTAGAAGATGTATTTGATGCTACAACTTATTTCTATCTGCCGTAAAAAAGATTGCAAAATAATAATGTTTTGAAAAATTTTTCAGCGACACACCATTCCACCAGAAGTTCCGAATTCTATTCATTAAACATGGTTATTACAAATAAAAATACTATTAAGACCATCTGATTAGGAAAAAGAGCTAAAATCAATAACGGTTTGTTTTTAGAAATCCTAACCCTCTTTATAGAATTAAAAAAAATACAATTTTATTATTATATTACATAAATGGTGCAAGAAATGTTAACCCTTATTCTTCTTTCATCCCGGCTATTTTTAGGCATAAAATGTTCATGATCATGGTGAATGAAATACTATTTGATAATTATTTTTTTATAGTAATTTTGGATATATTATTACTCATTCAATTATACAATTTTATCATTCGATAAACTTTACTTACCGACTTCTTCTTCTTCTACTTTTGTTATGATATTAACGCAAGTTCCATTTTCTACATGACCATTTGATAAGCCATTCATTGTTTTCTTATCTAAAATAAAATTAATAACTTATTAAAAATCTCTTAAATAAATTATATTGATGATAGACTTTATTTACGTTCAGATTTTAGTTTAAAGTGATAATAATTATTTCGTAATTGCAAATACAGTTATATTCATATAACACCATAAGCTGGATTTTGTATTACTGCTGCGTGTAAAAGTTATGGGATTGAATTACTAATTATATTTCTCCCGAGAAAATAATAGTTAAGTAGGTTTTAAAGTTCTTTGCGTCATCATGATAGATTTAAACAGTTATTCATTACTTCATAGTTTTGTAAATCAAATACATAGATTCAGATATTTGGTCGCAGTTTTTTTCTCCATTGGCAAATTGCAATTCTATTTGCTAGGTAAGCTGTTAATTTTTCAGTTGTTCAAAGAATTCCAAGCAAAATAAAAATTAGATAGACTCAAACTCACAACAACGTAACTTTAAATATCTAATGATGACAAAGAAAATTAGTATTAAAGAACAATTTTCGGTAGATAGACTGATAGATTTCTCGTAAGGAATCAATCAGATTAATGATCGTTAGAAAGGTGACATTTTGTAGTGAAAAAATCATTAGCTCCTTTTTGTTTAGTGCATGCAGTTGTGAGTTAAAAGGTGTTCAAAATGGTAGTGGACAAAGAGAAAATTCGGTACATTTTACAGTTTCTTTTTGACGAAGACAAAAATGCAAGCCAGGTGGCTAAAATTGTAAATGGTGTTTTTGGTTCCGATACTGTAACAGCTAATTATGGGCAGTTTTGGTTTCGTAAATTACGTTTAGGAATTTTTGATGTTAAAGATGCACCTCGCACAGGTAGGCTGGTCTTCGAAAATGTCGGTGAAATGATCAAAATTGACCGACATGTTAGCAATCGTAACATCGCCTAAGAGCTAAAAATCGACCATAAAACAGATTGAAACCAATCAACCAAAAATAATGAATTTCTTTTTCTCCAACCTTATATATATATATTAATATATATATATATATATATATATATATATATATATATATATATATTGTTGTGGTATTCACCCTTTACAATAGTTATAAATAATATTGTAAATCGATGTAACAGTCAATATGAATTACGCAGTTAAAATGATTCATGGACTTGCAACAAAGTATGAGAGATAAGCAACATTGTAAACATGCACGTGTACAAATCTGTAACCGCAAATGCGTCGAAGTAAATAGCTGACTCATTCGTAACGGGTTTCTGTGATGACGAATAAGCCAATATGAATCATTTTAACGTATTTTTCTGGAAGAATGATTACGTCACCATCAGAGATTATAAAAGCCTGAAGGGAACAAAGTCAGTGTTCATTCTCAGTTCAGTTGCCAAATAGTTCACATCACTCTTATCTTAAAATATCAATTGTGTATTAAGTGTAACCAAGTAATGAATTAAATAAATATTAATAAGTCTTCAGATGTTTAATTAAATATTCCACAGTGGTAAAGTTTATGATAGCAGCAGAAGAACCTAAATTTTAATTGTTGACATCGTTGGTGTGAGGCAACATAATTGTTGGCAACGGATCCACAACATAAATTGTTGTAAACCCAGGGTGCACAACATTATTTGGTGGCAGGTGGGATTCTGCGAATTTTTTTTTAAAAAAAATGCTAAATTATTACCATAACATGTCTTGAACATAGAATTATTGCATATTTGGAAAACGGATATTTGAGAAAAATACGCCGAAATATAGCAATAATTAGATTCAAGAAAAGGTAAAAAGCTTTACCGAAGTGGAAATATTATTGAAATTACAAAGTAAAGACTCCAAAAATCAAGTAGTAAGAAAAGAGAAATATCGTAATAAGAAGAAACAAGAAAATCAAATCAAGAATCAAGAAACAAGGAAAGAGAAAGAAGATAATATAAATCAAGAAAAAAAGAAAAACCAAGAAGTTCAAAGTGTTATATTTACAAGTGAAAAGTCAAAGGTGATAAATAAAATAAAAAGTGTTATGAAAAAGTGAAAAAATCATTGTTCAAGGTTACAAAAGTTTAAGTGATTGTGAATTCGAGTGAACCAAAAGGATATTAAATTAAGAAAGGAATACAACTCATTGTCAGTAAGCTTATTTTTAATATATTTTTTTAAATTTTTGCGCTTCTGTTTCAGTAGTTTTACACATATTTTTCAAAAATGAATGAACTAGTCGATATGTCGCGCGAAGGTAAATTAAATATTCAAACTGCTATTGCGTTAATTCCGAATTTCAATGGGGAACCTTCAATGCTTCCTTCATTTATTACTGCTTGTGATGCATTATCGGTGGATTTGAGTCCATCAGAAGCGGAAAAATTGCTTACAGTTATAAAATTAAAATTAGACCCACAAATTTTTGCAAAGATCCAATTTATTAATTTTGAAACGTGGGAAGATTTAAAATGTTATTTAGCTAAAGAATATGTTGTAAAACGACCCATTTCTAGTTTATTGAACGAATTGAATAATTTAAAACGAAAATACAACGAAACAGTAAAAAGTTTTGGAAACAGAATTGAAGAAATTTTACGACAAATTCATTATTCAAACACAATTAGAGTAGGACATGACTATGCAACAACAACACAAGTGACATTCCAACAAGTAGGCATAAAAGTTTTTGAAAATGGCTTAAGAGAACCGTTAAAAACATTAGTAAAATGTTGTCGATTTTCTGATATTAGAGATGCTATTGACTTCGCTTTGCAAGAAGAAGCTTGTCAAAATTCGTCAAATATCAGAAATAATCAAAATAATAATATAATATGTTACATTTGCAAAAAACGTGGTCATATTGCTCCACAATGTTTCTTAAATAAAAAGAATAATGCTAATTCAAATAATAATAACCAAAAATTTTGCAACTATTGTAAAAAACCAGGTCATTTAATTTTTGAATGCAAAAATCCAAATCGAAGAAATTTTAATACAAATCGAAATTATTACAACATGTCAAAAACTTTTATTACCCCTACCAACAAACAAAGACAATATAATATATGACAAGATCAATAATAATAACCAAAAATTTTGCAACTATTGTAAAAAACCAGGTCATTTAATTTTTGAATGCAAAAATCCAAATCGAAGAAATTTTAATACAAATCGAAATTATTACAACATGTCAAAAACTTTTATTACCCCTACCAACAAAGAGTGCAGCTAATTCGCACACACATGCAGAAAATGCAACAAACGCACATACTCAGTGTATGTCAAACTGTGACGAAAACCAAGAAACCACAAATTCCCAAACCCAAGATCCTAATCCAACGACACCAGACAACGATACTATTACAGTACGTGAACTACTATCACAAATTCCCAGTTCATTTTCAATAAATAAAACCGACGAAAAGAAAATAAATTTCAAAAACAAAAATGTTTCGTTACAAATTGAAAACAAAACTTTTTGCACAAAATCAATCAAAGAACAAGATTCGAAAAACGAAAAACAGCAATTAAAAGACAAAGACGAAATCAAAGAAACACATGACAAAAATGTTTTAACGACATCAAGTAACGAAAAAGAACAGAAAGACAAAATTTTAAACGACCCACAAATTTCACAAACGTACCCAAGAAACAGAAAAACAAACAAAGATTTTACGAACGAAAATTCAGAATTTCAAACAAACGAAGCAAGCAAAAAAGTTGAAGAACCAGAGGTAGTCACAACTACTACCAAACATCGTTATCAACAAACCAAATCAAAGAACTACGACAAGTACGTAAAACCACAACGAACATTTAAAATCGACGATTTAGAATTAATAACGGACAAAAATCCTTACGCAAGTAAATCCAAAAAACTGATGCCTCTATTTAAAGATGCATACAGAGTTGTTGAGACGAATGGTACAGGACGGATCATACGGATCAACGACAAAGGATATGCCAACTGACAACGATTTTTTTTTGCGAATTGAAATTTACAAAACCAAAAAATGAAATAAATATTCCAATTGTCAAAAAAGACAACAAATTAAGTTAAATATAAATATATGAATTAAATGTTAGAAGGAGATAAAAGACAAATGAATTATAATAAAATTGTCAACCAAAGATTCTCAAACTTTTTTTTTCACAAACATTAAAATTTACAATGTAAATGAAATCAAAGTTTTTTTTAAGAAAAAAAGAGCATTGTTATATTATAAGTCATGATAATTATTGTAAAACTGTTCACTTTATTATTAATCAATGAAATGTCATATTTTGAAATATTATAAAGATGTTATATAACTCAACTATAATCATGAAATTTTGAAAAATATTACCATTGAAATAAAATTATGCTTAATTGTAAATTCATGATATTGTTCTACAATGAATACAATTTTTGAATTTTTTTTTTAATTAACATTTTTTTTAAATTTTTCGAAATTTCATGAAGAAGAAAAAGAATGTATTTGAAATATTATATGAACTTTAACATTATATTAATTATATCCAAACAAATAATTATAAGAAATCTGTACAATGTAATAGCATGAGCACAAATATTTTTTTGAAGCACCCGAAATGCTTTCTTTTTGTGAACGCACGAGGGCGCGCGTTTTTTTCGGCGGATGAGGTGTTGTGGTATTCACCCTTTACAATAGTTATAAATAATATTGTAAATCGATGTAACAGTCAATATGAATTACGCAGTTAAAATGATTCATGGACTTGCAACAAAGTATGAGAGATAAGCAACATTGTAAACATGCACGTGTACAAATCTGTAACCGCAAATGCGTCGAAGTAAATAGCTGACTCATTCGTAACGGGTTTCTGTGATGACGAATAAGCCAATATGAATCATTTTAACGTATTTTTCTGGAAGAATGATTACGTCACCATCAGAGATTATAAAAGCCTGAAGGGAACAAAGTCAGTGTTCATTCTCAATTCAGTTGCCAAATAGTTCACATCACTCTTATCTTAAAATATCAATTGTGTATTAAGTGTAACCAAGTAATGAATTAAATAAATATTAATAAA